CCCCCCCCCCAGCCCACCCTCTCCCCCCACATCAAGTTGGGCGAGACAAGAAAACAGACACAAACCAATGTTTTAACCAGAAGGAGCCGCGTTGCTGTTAAATAAAAACTTCAGTAGTAGTTGAAAAAGTTAAAAAGAAAGAAAAAAACATTAAAAAAGGAAAGACAACTCTGCAAGCCTCGGGAGGAGCACTGAGGGCTGTCGGGGTGTTGGTTTTCAGCCGATCCCCAAATCGCTGCTGCAGGGAGGGGAGACCCCCTCCCCTGTTCCCCCTCCGGCTGCCAAAACCACCGAAACAAGGCAAAAAGGGTCAAGGAACCCCTCAAACCCACCTTAGGCCGAGCTCTGTGGGTGTGGGACTCCCCAGCCTGACCCCCCTTGGGAAGACTTTGTCGGTTGGGTTTGGGTTAATTTGGGGATCTTTTGGTTTGGGTTTTTTTTTTTTTTGCTTTTTTTGGTTTTTCTCCCCCCCCCCCCCAGGATCACTGTTGACTTTCTACCTGTGTGTGTATATAACAACAATCACTTTCTAATTCCCTCTGGAATCGTTCACCACGTGCAGCCGGAGCCCGTGGGGGGCTCGTGGGGCTCGGGGTCGTCCCCCCCACCCAGGGCCGCCCCCGCGGCTTTTATATATGAAGTCGAGATTTTACTTGATTTATTTTAATTATTTTTTTGTTGGTTTTTAGTTGCCTCCATCGAACCTGTTTGATACCGGTGTGGGCTTCAGGATCTGCATAAAAAGTACCAAACGAGCCGCTGGCGGGTCCGTTCTTTCTCGCGTGCGCCCAGGGCAGGGGGGTCTGGGGCACCCCCGGCCTTTGGGAAACCCCCCCCCCCCGCGGGGGCCCCCCCCCCCCGGGGGGCCCCCCCCCCCCCATCACCGCCACCCCCGGTGACCCCCCGATGTCCCCCCGTCCCCAGGTGTCCGGACCGGACCCCGAGCGTCTCCGGCTCTTCCAGCGGCTGCGGGCGGCGGCGGCGGAGCGGCGGGACGGGCCCGGGGATGGGGATGGGGCGGGCGGCGGCACCGGGGGCGGCCGCCTCCCCGCGGGGACCCCCATCCGCATCGCGCTGCCCGGGGGGCACCGCCTGGACGGCCGAGCCCTGCAGACCACCCCCTTCCAGGTGGCCGCGCAGCTCGGGTACGGCCCGGGGTCCCCACAAGGGCTACGGGGTCCCCACAAGGGCTATGGGGTCCTCCAGGGTGTCCCCACGGTGTCCTGACAAGGGTCCTGGGCCCCTCGTGGTGTCCTCACACGGTCCCCACAAGGTCTACAGGGTCCACACTGTGTTCTCAACGTCCTTACAGTGTCCTTGTGGTTCCTACAGGGTTCCCACAGTGTCCCCAGATTGACCCCCACAAGGTTCATGGTGTCCCCACAATGTCCCCATGGTCTCCACAGTGTCCCCAGGATCCCCAGAGCATTCCCAGAGTATCCCCTCAAGGTTCCCACGAGGCTTCTGGGGTTCCCACAGTGCCCCCATGGTCCCCATTATCCCCACAGAGTCTGTGGGGTCCCCACAATCCTCCCAGGGTCCCCACAGCGTCCACAGTGTCCCCACGGGTCCCTGGTGTCCCCGCAGGGGTGGCCTGGCAGAGGCAGCGCTGGTGGCCCGGGTGAACGGGGTCCTGCAGGACCTGGACCGGCCCCTGGAGCACGACAGTGACCTGGAGCTGCTCGACTTCTCCTCGCCGGAGGGGCGGGAGGTGAGTCTGGAGGGGGCTTGGGGGGATCCCAGACCCACACCGTGCTCCCCTCACAGCCTGTGTCCCCCTGTGTGTCCCCCCCCGTGTCCCTGTGTGTCCCCAGGCTTTCTGGCACTCCAGTGCCTGTGTCCTGGGGGCTGTGGCCGAGCAGTTTTTCGGGGGGACGCTCTGCAGCGCCCGGGCCACCGAGGACGGGTTCTACTGCGACGTGCACATGGGGGACAGGTAGGGCAGGGGGGGGACACTGCGCCAGGGGTCCCCGGGGTTGTCCTGGGGTGTCCCCAGCCTGTCCCCTGCCCTGCAGGACGGTGCAGAGCGCGGAGCTGCCGGCGCTGGAGGAGGCCTGTGCCGCGTTCGCCCGCGCCCGGCACCGCTTCGAGCGCCTCGAGGCCACGCGCCAGCAGCTGGCTGAGCTCCTCAAGGTGACAGCCCAGAGTGTGCCCTCCCCGGCACGTCCCCTCCCCGTCCCAGGATGAGCTTGGGGACATGGGGATTCTCCTGGTTGGGGTTATTGACCAGGGTGATGCTCGTGGGGACCAGTCTCAACCCCCCGTGGTGCCACCTGTGCCACTGTCACCGCCTTGGTCCTTTCCCCTCCAAGGGCGGTGTCCCTTCCCCCTCGGTGTCACCCCCTGGAACGTCACCTGTGCCCCTGTCACCCCGTTGTTGTCCCCTCTCAGCACAACAGCTTCCAGCTGCAGCAGCTCGAGGAGGAGGTGACGTCCCCCACGGCCACGGTCTATAGGTGAGCAGGGGGGACACTGGGGAGGGGCCGGGGGGTCCCCATGACTGTCCCCACGTCCGTCCATCTGTCCCACAGGTGTGGCCCCCTGCTCCAGCTCTGCCGTGGGCCCCTGCTCCGGCACACGGGGCTCATCGGAGCCCTGCGCGTCCTCACGGTGGGTGTCGGGGTGGGGAGGGGGGGACACCCCAGTGCCCGACAGTGTCCCTGGCACCCGGCCCCCCTGACCCCCCCCCCGTGCCCACAGAGTTCGGCTGCGCTGTGGGGGGGGTTGGGGGGCCGGTCCCTCCAGCGCGTGGCCGCCGTCGCCTTCCCCACCCCTGAGGCCCTGGAGCGCTGGGAGCGGGCCCAGGAGGAGGCGGCTCTGCGGGACCACCGGCGGATCGGGAGGGTGAGCCCCGGTGGGGTGGGGGTCGCTCACAGTGCCAGGAACCCCCTGGTAACACCACCCCCGCCCCTGCACACAGGAGCAGGAGCTCTTTTTCTTCCACAAGTTCAGCCCCGGCAGCTGCTTCTTCCTGCCCCGCGGTGCCCACGTCTACAACGCCCTGGTGGAGTTTATCCGGGTGTGGACCCCCCTTTAGCCCCTCCTGACCCCCATCATCTGCCCGTCCCCACATCACCCAGACCCCACTGCACCCCATCCCCATTGCACCTGGCACTGCTGTGCCCCCCTCCTCAGCACCCAGACCCTGCCTGTGCCCCCCACATCACCCAGACCCCATTGCCCCCCATCCCCTCCCACCCAACCCCTGCCTGTGCCCCCCACATCACCCAGACCCCATTGCCCCCATCCCCTCCCACCCAACCCCTGCCTGTGCCCCCCACATCACCCAGACCCCATTACCTCCCACCCAGACCCCACAGCCCCCCTCTGCTCCCTGTCCCTCACCCACAGTTGCCCCCCAGTTCCCTGCTGTGCCCCTGTGGCTGAAGCCCCCCCAACCGATGCCGGGGGGCTGAGCTGACGTTTCCCCCCCCGTCCCCCTCTGTCCCTGTCCCCGCAGAGCGAGTACCAGGCGAGGGGCTTCAGTGAGGTGGTGACCCCCAACCTGTTCAGCCCCCGGCTCTGGGAGCTCTCGGGGCACTGGCAGCACTACAGCCCCCACATCTTCTCTGTCCCCGCCGCCCCCGAGACCCTCTCCCTCAAACCCATGAACTGCCCGGCCCACTGGTGAGTGGGGGGGGGTCCTAGAGCACCCCGGGGGGGCTCCTGGGGGCTCTGCCCGTCTGTCTGTCCGTCCCCAGCCTGATGTTCGCCCACCGGCCGCGCTCCTGGCGGGAGCTGCCCCTGCGCCTGGCGGATTTCGGGGTCCTGCACCGCAACGAGCCCCCCGGGACCCTGACGGGGCTCACACGGGTCCGGCGCTTCCAGCAGGACGATGCCCACATTTTCTGCACCCTGGAGCAGGTGGGTGGGGGGGTGTGTGTCCCCTGGCCCCTCCCAGACCCCCAAAATGTATCACATGACACTCCTTTCCCAGCTGGAGAGCGAGATCGATTCCTCCCTGGATTTCATCCGGACCGTCTACGCCATCCTGGGCTTCTCCTTCCGCCTGGCCCTGGCAACGCGTCCCGAGGGGTTCCTGGGGGACCCCGACACTTGGGATCGCGCTGAGCAGGTGGGATGATGCCCCCTGTGTCGTGTCCCCCCTGCACTGTCCCCTCCTGACCCCCCCCCCGATCCCTCCCTGCAGCAGCTGGAGCGGAGCCTGCGGAATTTCGGGCAGCCTTGGGAGCTGAGTCCGGGAGACGGCGCCTTTTATGGGCCCAAGGTGAGGGATTTTGGGGAAGGGGGGGTCCCCAAAGGAGGCAGACGGGATCCTTTGGGAACCTCCCATCCCTCTTATTCCCTACAGATCGATATCCGGATCCGGGATGCGCTGGGGAGGCACCATCAGTGTGGCACCATCCAGCTGGATTTCCAGATGCCAGAGAGATTTGAGCTGGAATATGCCAGGTATTGGAGTGGGGAGGGGGGGCAGGATTGGGCTGGGAGGGCAGAACTGGGGATTTGGAGGGGGCAGGATTGGGCTGGTTTCAGGACTGAGGTGGAGGGGATCAGGATTGGGCTGGGGGGGAGTCAGGGTTGGGGTGTGGAGATCAGGATTGGAGCTGGGGGAGCAGGATCGGGGTGAGAAGTGTCTGAATTGGGATGGAGAGGGAAGAATTGAGGATTTGGAGGGGATCAGGATTGGTGGGGGGAGCAGGATTGGGGCTGAGGAGTGTCAGGATTGGGATAGGAAGGGGAGAATGGGGGATTTAGGGGGGTGGGGATTGGGGCCGGGGAGGGTCAGGATTTGGGTGGCGGGTCAGGACTGAGGCTGGATGGAGCAGAAATGGGGTGGGGGTGTGTCAGGATTGGGCTGGGGGTGGTGGTGGGGCCCCCCTGCCCCTCTGACCCCCTGTTCCCCCCAGCCCGAGCGGGGGTCCGGCGCGGCCG